AGTACACAACACCAGCACAGAAAGAATTCATATTACAAGAACACATTGGTATTGAAGGAACTAGATACTGTTCCGAAATATCACTTACTCGAACCGTCCTGACCGCGTAGCTCAGTTGGAAGAGCATTGGGCTAGTATTCCAAAGGTCGTAGGTTCGAATCCCACCGTGGCTGGGCATGTTTTTCAAGCTCGCCCGGTGTGGATATGCACTCAGAGTAACATCGCAAACATATTATTCACCTGAGTACACAACACCAACATAGAAAAATTCATATTACAAGAATACATTGGTATTGAAGGAACTAGATACTGTTCCGAAATATCACTTACTCGAACCGTCCTGACCGCGTAGCTCAGTTGCAAGAGCATTGGGCTAGTATTCCAAAGGTCGTAGGTTCGAATCCCACCGTGGCTGGGCATGTTTTCAAGCACGCCCGGTGTGGATATGCACTCAGAGTAACATCGCAAACATATTATTCACCTGAGTACACAACACCAACATAGAAAAATTCATATTACAAGAATACATTGGTATTGAAGGAACTAGATACTGTTCCGAAATATCACTTACTCGAACTGTCCTGACCGCGTAGCTCAGTTGCAAGAGCATTGGGCTAGTATTCCAAAGGTCGTAGGTTCGAATCCCACCGTGGCTGGGCATGTTTTTCAAGCTCGCCCGGTGTGGATATGCACTCAGAGTAACATCGCAAACATAATAAAATAATTGTTAAAATAATCAATATTTTAATAAAATAATTGTTGTCAATTAATAAAATAATTGTTAGAAATTGTTGGGTTAATAATTATTGGGTTAATAATTATTGAAATATGTTGTGCTATAGCAGACTATGAAGTGATTATGCATATATAGTATATAAAATGGACATTAGATGACTCAACCTGGCCTAGTTAGCCAGGCTTGTCTTCAGTGTCTTGGTTAGCCAAGATCCTGACTCATATGATAACCATTTTCTATTCTGGCAAGGCAGGCTAGCCTGCATGGCTCATGTAAACAGGGCCTAAGATGATACATTTTAACATCATATAGTAGGCATGTGAATATCATACCGGCAGATAATTGAATGAAAGCCTTTTTCCATTGTTTTGTATTTCTACCATTTATTTGTAGTATTAGCACTTGTTTCTGACTTTCTGTTTATCGGGTTTTATTGATGTATCTTGAAAAGCCAGTCATGTATATATTAATATGAAATTGTATGAAATGTATATAATGAATGATTAGGGACCACCGGTCATTAATAATGGGAGGGGGGGGGGCAGTGGCGTAACGGAGGAAGAAGGGCCCTTAGGCATATTTGGTGTGGGGGCCCTGTTGACTGTTGTTTGACTGAGATCTTATATTTAAATTGAATATTTATCAGTAGAATATGGAAAACTCTGTGTCTATAACAATGACAGTAACAGTCTCCAACACATGTAACGACTTTTAAGAATAACTTTTGTTCCATTTCAGATGGAGGGTTTATTATTTAGCCATCGTCGATGGAGGGTTTATTATTTAGCATTATTAATTTTCTATTTTTCCATCGATTCGTAATTACCTGCATTTTTTACGTTTTCAGTCTAATTTTCTGGGTGATAGGCCGTGGCTGATGGGTGCCCCTAACTGTCGGGGGCCCTTAGTTTTTTAACTAACCCTACCTAGTGAGCATTACGCCACTGAGGGGGGCGGTGGGTGAGAAAAAGGGGGGGGGGCAGCTTCAACTATTTTTGCCTGAATTTGGGGTGTCCTCAAAATATATGACAAGGGGCGACCCCAAATTTTTAATACTTTCCTACTCATTTTCAATCTCTTGCCTTTATCGTATCCCACAAAATATCCCACCTTTTTTAGTTCCTATAATCGTAGTTTCCATAGTTTATTACGTATATACAGTTCACGATAGGAGTCAGAGTAAATAACAACCATTTTGAATACTGGTCCTCTTATTATTTAGGCTACACAATATCTTACACCATGCAGTACTTGTCCCATTACCTATTTTACACCAACTAAGTAACAATTAAATGTTGGAGGGGGGTCCTAAATTTTCTAAATGAAGGTGGGGGCATCTTGAAAATAAAGGTCTTGCGATTGGGGCAGCTATAAAAAATGTTCAGTATTTGGTATCTATCACCCACCATCCCCCCTCCCTCCTCCCATTATTAATGAATGGTCCCTTATGAAAGGTTTTTATCCAGTGAGTTTTACTATATAATTCTAAAGCACATGCATCTTTCGAGCTTTATAAAGACATACTATATTATTATATTAGTGTAGTACTGCAGTAAATCGATAAAGGTTTTATGTATGCATAATTTGGATCTTTCATAAATATTGCACACACGGTATTCGTATGAATATTTATAAGACAAATTTACATATTGAAATTAGTTCACGTACCAAAAAGTGCGTTTAATTTGATACATCTCCAACCACTACTTGTTTTTATTTTGAACTCTTCAAATTTCTCAAGCATTTCTGCTTGTGAAGCGCAAACAAGCACCCGGTCACTATCGCTATATTCTTCGATGGAAGCCATATTGCTTTGGTTTCGCGCGTTTTTTCCAATTTCGCGCACTAATTTATTTAAATTTTAAATATGGAATACCGCTGACTCGTATGTATTGCAGTTTCAGATATGTGCGTATCTTGTCTATGATCTAGTGCCGACCCGAAAACCGTCGATGACATAAACAAAATGGAGGACAACTTTGCACTCCGCTATGTTTTCACACACCCGGGTATAATAGAGGCGCGGCCGGATATTTTTCACCAGGCATTCTTTCCTTCCTGTGCATGCGCGACTCCTTACTATGTATAGCGACTAATTACTGCAAATCGTTACATTCTTGAAAGCATATGTATATTGTTGTCGTGTATGTTTTTATTTGAACTCTGAAGAAGAGAATTTATTAAATCTTCAGTTCAACTCTGAAGAACAAACTTTATTAGATCTACAATTAATGTATGAAGTATATGTTATATTAATTCTTGATTGAGTCGATTTTCTTTCGTGTACCGAGGTGATATACAGTATTATTTTGAATAATCACCCTGAATATTAATTAGCTGAAAAGGTGAAGAAAACTAAAAAAATCGTCATTCAAAGTGGACAAAACAGACAAAACTTTGTTGGAAAACCTCCCCAATCAAGAATTAAATATGATAAACACCTCGAAATTAAGTCGGAATTTATGTCAGATAATGCCGTCGGACGCTGCGCGTCCTGGCGGGTCATTATCTGACATAAAACCCCCCTTCTCGGTGTTTATCCTATATACATATGTTGACTAAAAATGTACAAAAACGTCCAGTGTTGTCCAGAAGATTATAGTGTAAAACATGAGGTTACACTTTAGTCAGGCCCGGCACTCGAACGCCATTAGTAGTTCCTTTCCGAGTTTGGTTCTCAAATTCATCCAATCTGTTTTCAAGAGCCAAAACGTCTGACTTGATCTCTGATGCGTTCTTGTCAAGGGCTCGTTCCCATTCTCGACGATTATCTTCTCCTCAAGATGAGTTATATTCTGATTCACCTGTGTTGCAAGTTTTTTCACTTCTTTTCCCAAATTCAAATAATCTTCAGCGGTATCATTAAGATGAGTGAATGCTTCCAATTTCTTTTGAATGACTCTCTGAGTTTCCTTGACATTATTCAACTCGTTCAAAGCTCGTTGAACTGTAGCACTGGTCGTGTAATTTATCGTCTTGTTCAGCGCTCTGGTTTTGCTGTGAAGTTCCATGTAGTCGTGTTTAAGTTGCGTAACTTTGTGGCTGAGTATTAAAATGGTACTGTTGGTATCCTCGCATTCGATTTTAGCCAGTGCTTTGTCGCTTAAATTAGCCACTTGTTTCTTGATCATTGCTTTAATACTTTCTATCGCAGACTTTCCGCCGTCGTTCAGCTTGTCTTTTGTATACTTTCGATATGTACAGACACTCAACACAATGGCTACAATAGCAGCGATATTCACCAATAGCTATGAGTATTGCAATGACATACAGTGCAATCCAACATTTATCTTTACCATTACAAGCCATTAGCGGCCTGTATACAACTGCAGTATAGACTATAGTTCTTAAATTTTAACCGCACAGCCTTATATGCCAAAACTAGTGAACTAATCGAAATCGAAAATGAAAATTAATGAAATGATTAAGTGAAATACGATCAGAATGTTATGATGTAAACTTTTCCTGGAATCGTCGACATTTAATATCCCAAATCATATTATTACGCAAATCAACTCAATTACTGTATTTGCGAACATATATTGTACTTTTAATTATTGTAATAACAACTGCTAACTTAATCCTCATGAGGTTTAAGTTAGCAGTTGTTATTACAATAATTATAACTACAATGTACGATAACGCAAATTGCAAATGAACTTTGGATACTGATTTTATCGATCAAACATCAGTCATCACTGATATATACATGTAGACACTTAAAATCGGCTAGAACTGACTTCAAACGTCAAGTCGACGTCATTTTTGATTGAGACATGCAGTAATAGACAAGAAATACATGCATGCACTATGTGCAAAAAGGGGCAAAATCATGTGGACCCAATAAATATTGATAGGACCTATATCTTATATATAATTAGGAACACAATTTGACTCAATGACTGTAGTAATTCTGGAAATTCGATCACATTCTTGAAACTTTATAAATTTTTTATTTAACTTGAAGAAACCGGTGAAGTCTGCATTTAGGACAAGTGCTTCCGTTTAATTTTTGCAAGAGATAATTTTGCTTAATAATATTAAATGAGGCTATAACTATATAACCTGCAACTCGATCAAAGATATAGGACAACAAAGGGTAACATGAATAACCTCAACCAAAGTATAGTGATCATGAAAATGATAATAAAAAATCATTTTAAGGGCATATTTTTGTGATTAGAATTACAGTCTGAAAGAACTCGGTACAATATTATAGTCAAATGCCTCTCAAATGTTGTTGATTTTCCAAACCCATTTATTAACGTTAACCATGTAGCGTAAGGTGGATCGGTGACGCAGCAACAACAACTCCTTTAGCAAACAAAGAAGCGTTATATAACAGTAATTGTAAAACATTTGACAACGGATATACTTGTGCTGCTTATGATTGTAATTGCAAATTGTAACTGTTAATAGCAACGGACTTTGAGTAGGTGGATCCGTTTTAGGAACATGAACAGCGTTTGAAGGTCACCACCTACAGCGCGACAATAGAAGATGTAAATGAGTGTCAAAATGTTTCAACATGTATTTAATTCTGCATCCTTGCATACACGCAGTCTACGCACGACTGCTCTGCATACAATTTTGAAATTCAGGCACTAAAGCTATAGCATAACTTAATAACAGAAAATAGAGAAACTTGGAGGCATTTTCTTGGAACACCATGCGGTTTAGTGTTTACATACCATATACCATACCATACAATACCATACCATACCATACCATACCATACCATACCATACCATACCATACCATATCATACCACACTATGCCAGGACTATAATAGCAATAACTACTAGAACATCAAAATGTTTATCAAAATTAAAATTAGGAAAGTGAACATTAATTTGTGTGATCAAGTGAACATTAATTTGTATGAGCTGTACATGCATCTAAAGGAATTATTAATAATCAATTCTTGCAAAATATTAATATTATAATAATCTCGTTTTTAATGATCCTCTATTAATTAGTATACGCGCTTGCAATTTGCAGTTATAATGTAATTTATTCGGTAGATTTTCTGAAAATAAAACAACTAATTCTGTTTTGTGCACGACTGCACGTACTGATTTCAGTAACGACGTGTATATAGTATGGGACGAAAGATAAACAACATGGAAAACATCATCCAGATTGACAACTCGTCTATGACTATGAGTACATAAATAATCAACGACAAATTAATGGGTGCAGTTTCCATACTTATGCAAATTCAACGGTCGTAAAGATTGAGTCACGATCTTTCGCATCAACCAAAATATTTAGAACTGAATTGAAAATACGCGGAGTGGTTATAACTAGAGAATACTTATGATTTATATATGTGGTTTACAGGTATAAATTATTATAAACTGGCCGTTGAGAAAGATCGTGACTCTATTTTTACGACCGATTAAGACCATATGGAAACCAGGTTTAAACAGGTTTTCAGCTGTGCATATTTTAATTCAGTAATTTCTATTTTGAGTATTGAATGCCTTTCTCAACTAATTTCACCAACCACTGAGTCACTGACGGACAGTTCAATATTGAAACTGGCAACCTTGCAATATATATATATATATATATATATATATATATATATATATATATATATATATATATATATATATATATATATATATATATATATATATACCGTATTTAGAAAGATACTGACATGCATGCATATATATGTAGAAAAATTGTTTTATCCGAAGCGTTGCTTTTCTTCACGTGCGCACTTTTCACTACTCGTCCAGTTTTTGTTCTGCTCACCTCAGATAAATTATCTCAGGACAAAAAAAAATACGCCAAATCAAGGCTCACGGCTAGACATTTAAATCACGTTTTACGAAAAAAATCCTTTATTTCGCATTTCACAAAACAAATATTGATTTATACCACCCTCAGTGTAAATAACTTAAAATTTACAAAATCCGTTTTGGCAGCTATAAAGATTAATTTACTACAAGGTGACATCGAGTCCAGCTTTTCACCTGCATGGATAGACCTGATCACGTACGTAACATCACTAACATGTTTATATATAGCCTTTCATTTGCTGTTATTGCTACCACAGTGTTGCAACCAACCTATGTTACTCAGACATGTTCGAATTTAATTAAACATCAAGATCAAGTTAGATTAAAAACATCATGATAATATAAAACATTCATTAGCATATAAGAAACTCGATTTAGCCTATAGGCCACCTTAGCATATAGCAGTGAAATCGGTCAGTTCAGATTGTAGTTGGTTTCTACAAGAGAGTTTTTGTGCATGTGCCGCTGGCTCAAGCTATACAATGTTCACTCAAACTATACTGTCATTCTTTCGTGTAATAATATATTTGGGATGTTTGAAATATTCCGAATAAATTTCATATTAAGCCATATAGGGCGAAGATAAGAAGTATGATCGACTGCATGTGAATTAATGTCAGTGATAATTAATATGTTTTATTAATGTGATTCAATCAAACTGTCATTCCTAAGTAATATATTTGGGATGTTTGAAATATTTCGAATAAATTTCACATTAAGTCATACAGGGGGAAGATGAAAGGGCGTTGTGAAAACCCGGAATGCCGGAATATCACGGAATATGGCGGAATATCACGGAATATGGCGGAATATCACGGAATATGGCGGAATATCACGACATTTTCCCGGAATATACCAGAACATCACAATATTTTCCGATGGTAGCCATGCGACTGTTTATAAACATGGACGTCTGACAACATATTTTATTACAAAAGTGATGGATCTTTCCCATTTTGACGGTAAGTAACAAACAATAACTCTATACTGGAAGTTTTATATATTGTTTATATCATTATTACGAGTGTTCACCAAAAATTTTGAATCAATATGATTAATTCCTTCTGAGTTAAGGCCTAATTCCACGACGAGCGAAATGCGAAAAATATCGCGCGAAAAGGTTGAACGCATGCGCAACATGACTTTGGAATGTTTCTCAGCGAAATATTTCTCTTCGCCGGGTAGTTAAATTGGTTTCTACTCCGTTGCGAAATGGAAATAGCGAAACCAATCAAATGCTTGTGTTATGGATGACAAAATAGCGAAACCAATCAAATGCTTGTGTTTTGGCGAATGGTTTTTTTCTCTACTGTGGAAATCACTACGAGAGAAAATTTTCGCACAAGTGTGTTTTCGCGCGAAATATTTTGCATTTCGCTCGTCGTGGAATTAGGCCTTTACAGCGCCGGTCTTGAAAAACAAACGTGCTGACGTCAGCATTATTTTCGAACGCCTTCAGAACTGTGTTATTTACACAAAATTTAGTTAAAATTGACCATTTTATACCACCAAGCGTTTATCCAAAACTCAAAAGCTAAAATTAAGGCAACTTTGAGCCAGTTGTTTATATCAGGTAAGAAGTCCCGTCTTATTAAACCTTAACCAATAATTTTTAACTAAATTTTGTGTATAAAAGGCTCGTTCACACTTGCAATTTTTACTGCGATTTTATGTGCGATTTTCTTCTTCTGATGCATGTAAACGAGTGGATAAGTTATGAATGTTCAGATGAGAGTACATGTACTCCGAACATTCGTAACTCATCTACTTGCTCACATGCATTAGAAGGAGGAAATCGCAGTAGAAATCGTCAAATCGCAGCAAAAATTGCAAGTGTAAACGGTTCTGAAGGCGTTCGAAATAATGCTGACGTCAGCACTTTTGTTTTCCAAGACGCTGTAACTCAGGAGGAGTTAATCATATTGATTCACAATTTTTGGTGAACACTCGTAATAATAATATAGACAACATATAGAACTTCCAGTATAGAGTTATTGTTTGTTACATACCGTCAAATGGGAAAAATATACATCACTTTTGTAATAAAATATGTTGTCAGACGTCCATGTTTATAAACAGTCGCATGGCTACCATCGGACAATATTGTGATGTTCCGGTATATTCCGGGAAAATGTCGTGATATTCCGTGATATTCCGCCATATTCCGGCATATTCCGTGATATTCCGCCATATTCCGTGATATTCCGCCATATTCCGTGATATTCCGGCATTCCGGGTTTTCACAACGCCCGAAGAGGGAGATATGATCGACTTCTGTCTTCTGTGAATGCATGCATGTGAATTCGAATTATTGTCGGTGACACTTAAGGTGGTTCCCTGCAGTTTTGATCGTACAGCACACAATTGTATTAAAAAAACGGTTATTTTATCATCTTGCAAAATATGATCACGAAACTCGGCTACATAACTGCTACAATTAGCGAATTACGAAAAATAAAAAATATCGTTAAAAACCACCGTTGCCATGGTAACAAAGCGATTTTAAAAAGGGCCAATTTGCAGATTCTTTGATAGTTTTTTGAACATTTCTTCAGTAAAACCTTTTAATTTTTTGCGACAGTAATCTTATCTATAATTCCTTCAAATAATAGCATCTAAAAAAATCGTACGAGAGTTTTTTCCTCAAAAAGCCTTGTTTTTGGAATAAAAAAAATTCGCCTCGTACTATTTTCTTAAAACTTGCACATTTTAGTGATTTTACGCACTTCAAGATTACAGGAAAGTGTGTGAAGTTTTAAAACATTTTACCGAAGAAAACACGAGAAAAATACATTTATTTTTATCTATGTGGCGTCACAAAAATAAGGATTTCAATTTCCTCGAGCGACCAGCCGACAATCCCACGAAGGCTCGCGCGTGTATATCACGACCCCACTTTTAAAAAACCCGCCACCCGTGCAACGTCGACCACGCGTGTTGCGTGTAGCACTAATCTCGCGCGTGGACAAAATTTCCGCGACACAGATCTAAAACTGTAGGGAGCCACCTTCGTTTTAATTAAATCAAACTGTCATTACTTGGCTAAGTTTATTACTAATAATATATTTGGGATGTTTGAAATATTTCGAATAAATTTTAAATTATCTCATAGGGGAAAGATAAGTGTATGACGGATAGACTGCACGTGAATTTTTAAACCAGACATTGTCAGGGACGTCGCTACAGGGTGTGTGTGGGGGTGTAACACCCCCCCCCCCCAACAATTCAAAACGTTGGTCAAAGTTGGTCAAAATGGAACTAATATTTGCTTAAAATTGACGGTCAAAGTTGGTAAAATTTGGTCAAAGTTTGAGATAAAAATGGTCAAAGTTATGAACTCGTTCGCAATTTTAACAATTTCTAAGCTTTGGTCATGTTTGCGCTGAAACAATTGCAAGCCTTGCTTATTTTGGTCGAAAATATTTAAAGCTTTGCTTATGTTAGTGCGGAAAATTTTTTGACCCCCCCCCTCCCCGTCGACAATATTTTCGGGAAATATTTCTACTACTTGGTCAAAATTCTAGGAAAAGTTGGTCAAAACATGACGACACCCCTCCGATGTTGATGTCTTCACGACGTCCCTGGACATTGTGATACTTGATTGTTCGAGACTGTTGTATTCCGTTCAAACTTTAAAGTCCTTCTAGTGTTGTGCTACGGAAAAAGTATAAACAGCAAATAAATCTGATAAATGAATACTATTATAATTATTGGCTCGACACTGACCAATATCATGATATAGGCCTACTTGGTTCATTTGTAAATATAATAAAATATACATTGAACAATTAAATTCCAGATTTTTCCTTCACACTGATCACTGACCAGAACTAGCTTGTGCTAGAAGTTGTCATATCATGTGGTCGCTTCAGTTGAAATTGATCACCAGACCAGCATCTGTCTAGAGATTTCTTTCGAATACCCGTATAGAAATGCCTGCAGTTTTGGAATACAAAAATAAAATAAGAGCATGTACATGTATGACGTACATGCAGAGGTTTTAATTAATTATTATCCATGGCCACATCTTGAAATATTCTGCATCGCTGCTGATTGCGATGTAACACCAGACGCCGGTTTACAAAACGCGTTAGGAGTTTATTCAAGCAAATACCAACACGATAACTAGAATGCTCATTGTAATCCTTTTACACATTCAAGTACAAAACATTCGAATTCAACTATAAACTCAGGGTCATCCCAAGGCCTCTCATTTTCCAAAATGGGTAGTTCTAAATGTAAAATCACTAAAATGGGTAGTTCTAAAACTTAAAATGAGTAGTTCTAAAATTGAGTTTTCGAGCTTAAAGGGACATGGCAATATAAATAAGTTTGTCTTATTTGAAAGAAAAAACTATATATAAACTTGCTTGTGTGATGTTACTCTGAGTGTATATCCACACCGGCAGAGTAACATCACACAAGAATCTTATTCACCTGAGTACATTACACCAACACAGCAAATACCATGACAATATATAAACTTGTTTTACAATTATTCCGTATCTTGCTTGGTTTTCGAAATAAATCGACTTATTTTGATCAAAAAAAGCGTGCATTCCGCCATCTTGGATATGCATTCGATATGTATACGTCACAAGTAGGGTAAAAACAGCATGAGCTCCACCTTTGAATTTACCATACGAGTAAATTGTTAAACATCTCCGATTTTATCAATATGATAAATTCGCGGCACCTAACCCCTGTCATTAACCCTAACCCTAATCTAACCCTAATCTAACCCTAATCTAGCTAACTTTTTAAAACTTTTTTGAAAATCTAACTTTCTAAACTTTTTTAAACTTTTTCAAACTTTTTTTTGAAAACCTTGAAAATCTCCCCACCCCCATGCGACCGGCCTCCCTTGCCATTACATTTGATAACAAAAACTCTTGTCTAACTTTGTGGTTTTATGATTTACTCTATTGTCAATTGATAAATTGAAAATGTGCCACGAATTTATCATATTGATAAATTCGGACGTGTTTAACAATTTACTCGTATAGAAAATTCACTAGGTGGAGCTCATGCTGGGTAAAAAGCGAAATTTTTATCTTGCAAACCACATGTTATTATAATACCAAGATGGCGGACTGCACACTGTTTTTGGTCAAAATATTTTGAAAACAAAGCCGGGTACTAAAAAGGTGTAAAGTGGTTTCATTCATAACTTTAAAAGTTCTTTCAAATAAGAAAAGTTAATTTTTATTGCCATATCCTTTAAAATGATAATTTTAGTAAATTAAGCGCCATAACAGAGTTTAAGGCAAAAAACAAAACCAAATGACACTCTGAAAACGCATGAAATGACCAGCATTCTAATTCAAAATTTTGTGGAGTCGGAATTGAAAGTTTTCCGGGGGAGCATGCCCCAGGACTCTCCCATGCACAATCATGGAAATTAATTCGTAGACTTTTCAAAAATCTCCCAATTTCCCCCCCTCCCCGTTTACAATGTTGGTTTGTGGTCCAATAACCATGCTTTGAACCAACATTGTGGTAGGGGGAGGGGGGGAGTTACTATTTCTAGCGATCATGGACGTTTCTATTAACTAAAGATAAAATGGCTTTACAAAATAGTAAGGCAAGATGCGTTTTAAAAAAGTCTACGGATATTATTTCCATGATTGTCTAAATTTAAAGACAAAAATCGCGCGGGGATATTTGTAGAAGCGGTGTATAAATCCTCATTAAAGCTCTACAGCATGGCAGATTCTATATGTTATATTGAATATTTATGAGTTTACTTTTCAACAGATCATAGTACAGAAAGATAATCAAGAAACTTACATCATACACTGTCTGCTTTTACTTCAACGGAAAATCTCTTCAAATAATGTAATAGTTCATTGGGTAATAAAGACTCTTTCAAGCATATACCCAAGAATTTAATATATGATCCACTGCTGCATACAATTAGCCTGTATTTACAAAACGTAATTCTGCGTAATGACTGATGTAAATAATATTTGAAAGTTAATAATTAAATAACTAACGCATTAATTAATAACTAACGCATTGTCGTCTATTTTATGAGGGAGATTCAAATTTTTGTCCGTCAACCGAAATGTTGGAGGTACGAGACGTGACTGATTGCAGTGACTATTTCATTAACCTCTATATATTACATATAGGACAAGTTACTGCATGTTACTACATGTTACTGTTCATGTTACTATAAGTGTACTACATTTTTTACCATATAATTATTTAAATAAGTTCTTCGTATGTTACCACGTGTTACTGTACATGCTACTGCACATGTTACAATCAATTTATTATATTTTACTACATAATTTCAACAAGTTACTACATGTTACTGCTGTTTTCTATAAAAATAGAAGTATATACTTTATATAAAAAACAGCAGTAACATGTAGTAACATGTTGAAATTTTCAACATATTGCTATCTGTTATTGCTGTACATTATATAAAGTATACATACTTTAATAATTATAAAAAAAACATCAGTAACCTGTTCAAATTATATAGTAAAATATAATAAATACATAGTAACATGCGCAGTAACATGTACAGTAACATGTGGTAACATGTGCAGTCCCTATTTAAAATTTGTTTATATCATATCTCACACTCTTTATTCCTTCTATGTTAATTATAACAATTTACTGTTACAACGAAATAAGCACTACTCTGTTACACAAGGGTTGCCGAGCGGGGTATGTTGGAGTGTGACCCTCACCCCCCCCCACCAACTTCTTCGAAAGCTTGTCGGTAAAATGGAGATTATGTAGGGAAAACTGTGACCTGTTGGCAAATAAGTTGGTAAAATAGAGTTGGTTGGTAAGGCGAAGAGGCTGTAGAGGAACACCCCCACCTCCCTCGATCCCCCTTTGGGTCGCTATGGTCTCTGTACGTCACAGCTGTTACAGTTGACATCAACAAATAGGGCAGTATTACACTTCTCATAATAAGATATATTCATAAAAAAATTGCATGTCTTGTTATGCAGATTATTATTACCACACAAACTTCAACCGCATAAATGCAATGAAATTTCGGATATAATTTAGCTGTAGCAGCAACGTTTATTTAAATAAATTAGTACGGTTACATGTATATGTAAACTTCAAACATATTTCAAGGAATTCAAAGGCAAACTTTATGTCATAACTTACTTAACATATTGAAACGGTCAAAATTAAATGCTTTCAGGTATCCCGTCGCTAAACAGTTTGCCCACACCCCCCTGATGCCCCCCCCCCAAAAAAAAACAATTACACAGCAACCTTGCATATGGTAAATAAAGTAATTTCAGTCAAAAAGAGAATCAGGTATTATAATATAGTAAGCTTTGTTTCGGGTCGAAAATGACTAAGTGCCGTACTTTTATAGACAATCATGGAAATTAATTCGTAGACTTTTCAAAAATCTCCCAATTTCCCCCCCTCCCCGTTTACAATGTTGGTTTGTGGTCCAATAACCATGCTTTGAACCAACATTGTGGTAGGGGGAGGGGGGGAGTTACTATTTCTAGCGATCATGGACGTTTCTATTAACTAAAGATAAAATGGCTTTACAAAATAGTAAGGCAAGATGCGTTTTAAAAAAGTCTACGGATATTATTTCCATGATTGTCTAAATTTAAAGACAAAAATCGCGCGGGGATATTTGTAGAAGCGGTGTATAAATCCTCATTAAAGCTCTACAGCATGGCAGATTCTATATGTTATATTGAATATTTATGAGTTTACTTTTCAACAGATCATAGTACAGAAAGATAATCAAGAAACTTACATCATACACTGTCTGCTTTTACTTCAACGGAAAATCTCTTCAAATAATGTAATAGTTCATTGGGTAATAAAGACTCTTTCAAGCATATACCCAAGAATTTAATATATGATCCACTGCTGCATACAATTAGCCTGTATTTACAAAACGTAATTCTGCGTAATGACTGATGTAAATAATATTTGAAAGTTAATAATTAAATAACTAACGCATTAATTAATAACCAACGCATTGTCGTCTATTTTATGAGGGAGATTCAAATTTTTGTCCGTCAACCGAAATGTTGGAGGTACGAGACGTGACTGATTGCAGTGACTATTTCATTAACCTCTATATATTACATATAGGACAAGTTACGGCATGTTACTACATGTTACTGTTCATGTTACTATAAGTGTACTACATTTTTACCATATAATTATTTAAATAAGTTCTTCGTATGTTACCACGTGTTACTGTACATGCTACTGCACATGTTACAATCAATTTATTATATTTTACTACATAATCTCAACAAGTTACTACATGTTACTGCTGTTTTCTATAAAAATAGAAGTATA